TGCCCTGTTTCTAGCTGGAAACCTGGTGTCAGTTGTGAATCTATGTAATATTGTAATGTGCGCACTATTCAAGGAGGCTGCTTGCTAAGCCCCCGTCAATATATCTGAGACTGCAGAAAATGTTCTGTTATTGAAAGGTGCAAGTTGCTAATTTTAATTTGTTTTGACAAGTTCCCTGACGGTTTTGTAGGTGGTTGTAAATCAATCATCTTCTGCCAGAGTTAGAAGGGATGCTGCAGCGCGTGCTATGCAGGGTTGGCATGCTCACCGCCTCCTTGCCAATGGCACTCACAGGGATAACATTTTGAAGGTAATAGAATTTCCTTTACTGGGATTCACATTTTGTTTGCTTACTGTTCTCGTTGAAAAAATATTCACTTTTCTACAGGACAAAGATTCAATACCACTTTCAAATCGTGATAAAAACCTAAAAGGCTTTGGTACGCTTCACGATTATTATTTTTAACGCAACACGCTTCACGATTTTCTGTTGCTAATGTGCACTATGCTATTTTTTCTCACGTATCTCTCATGATATGTTTAGGGGTGCTCAAGAGAAAGAAAGCATCTAGTCCAGAGTATGCTCTCAAGTCGTCCAGCTCAAAAATAAATAAATCACAGTTAAGGCTCCCTGTACATTCATTTGGCTACATCTATATATTTAAGCATTGTATGCAATATGTTAGATGAAGAAGACATGGCTGCTACTATGCAATTAACAAGAGAAATCCAAAATCTTGTAGCGCCATGTAGTGCAATTGAGCTCATCTGGAGGAAGTTTTGTCCATATATTCGGATGCTGTATGACAGTTTCTCTGGTGTTGTGATTCCTGTTCTCATATGTAATGGAATGCACAATTTCAGGGAAGATTCTATGGTCATTGACGTTGGAGAACCGGCCGACTGGGTGAAGATCAATGTGCGCCAGACTGTAAGTTCAGCTTGTATTGTTTTGTTAATAATACTGTGCAGCGTATTATGTGTATGTTTTTATTATAGCCTGTACCATGAAATGATTGTTTTCACAAGGTAGCTTTGCTAGTAAACTTCCACTGAGTTTTGAACTGAAGTTACACCGTTTGGTTATTGCTTCCCTGCAGAAAGATTGCTTTGAAGTCTATGCACTAGTTCCTGGACTTCTACGTGAGGAGGTGAGGAAGTATGGTGCCATTCATGTGGAGGGCCTAGCTTTAAATCTTTTCATTGGCCTAAAGTAAATCCTTTCGGATATAAATGGAAGATAAGCAAAAGGAATTTTCCTTGAAATGAGGCCATGCCATAGAGGAAATTGTTAATTTTTTTTGTTCTGATCTGATGGTAGCAGGTGCATGTTCAATCAGATCCTGCTGGACGTCTGGTTATCACAGGGGATCCAGAGCAGCCTGATAATCCTTGGGGGATCACTCCGTTCAAGAAGGTGGTAGCTTCACTTTGAACGCTAACACAAACACATTTGTGAACTCAGTTTAACATGTAGTGAATTTTTTGTCTCAGGTGGTCAACTTGCCATCAAGGATTGATCCTCACCAAACATCCGCTGTTGTCACGCTTCATGGTCAGCTATTTGTGCGTGCACCGTTTGGTCATCCTGATATGTAGATATGGAATCCTGTTTACTTCAGTTTTGTTGACTGCGGTGCCTCTTCACCAGTGATATTCCTTGATATTACTAGGTCCGTGATTTGTGGCCTCTCAGGCATTCCTTGCCTCAAAATTTATCTTGTTTTCTTTGATTTCATGTATTTTGTTTATTGTGCAGGGTTTATATCAGTTCTGTTGAGGAAATAGGATTTCATTTGAGCAGATACATGATGTCAAGCTGACTTAGCAGAACCGTTCTGTGGTTGGATGCTGTTTGCTGGTGTTGCGATCTGTTATCACTTTTTTTTTTTTTCTAAACCCACCCCTTTATTCTTCTTAATATAATGATACGTAGCTCTCCTGTGTGTTCGAGAAAAAAAACAGTAGTGGTCATAAAATTAACTGGTTCATGCATGTATTCCAGTTTCATGGTGAGATTTTATAGAGAAAGGAGATGTTGGTCGTAGTAGGGCTAATTTGACATTATGATTACTTATTATTCTTTATTATTCTTCTTCTGTATTATAAATGCCTCTCCGGGTCACTCCAGGGCACCCTAAAGTTGCATTTTTGTGCATAACGCCGGTTCGTCTGGTTTATGAAGCTAATTGCTCTCTCTATGTGATAGAAGTCTCAACTGTATTTCAGTGGATCGTATTGCTTCAGTGCATAAAGCCGGTTCCATTTGTTGCAGCGAAAGAAATTAGGGGGTGTTTGGTTTCACCTTCTAAACTTTAATCGTTGTCTCATCGGATGTTTAGACATATGTATGGAGTATTAAATATAGATTATTTACGAAATTAAATGCATAGATTGAGACTGTTTTTCGAGTCGGTTTTTTTAAGCATAATTAGTCAATGATTTGACAATGTGGTGCTATAGTAAACATATACTAATGATGGATTAATTAGACTTAATAAATTTGTCTCGCGAATTACTGATGGATTCTGTAATTTGTTTTTTTATTAGTGTTCGAATACTCTATTCGACATCTCTATGTAACACCTCCTAAACTTTAGTCCGCAGATCCAAACATCCCCTTATTCTGATTTTGAATTCAATTGCTTGTTGAAAAGCTTATTTGTATGGCCATACAGCATCATAACTGCTACCTGAGCCTTGTTCCTGTCATTTGTACGGCCATACAGGGCTTTCGAAGCCCAGGGTGCTCCTTTCAGAAAAGGAGTGTGGTTTGGCTGTTTGGCGCAATTTTTTGAATTACAGAAACATACACACTTGGGGCGTGTTTGTTCCCTGCACGTTCCCAGACTGGTCAGACGAGGAGGGCCACATACCTGAGGACAGGCCCAGCAGGTACTTTCTAGCGGAGCTAGTCTCGGCCTCGTTTAGATTGGGGTTAGAAATCAGTATTTGACACTATAACACTTTTATTTGTATTTAATAATTATTGTTCAATCATAGCCTAACTAGGCTCAAAAGATTCGTCTCGTAATTTAGAATCAAACTATGTAATTAGTTTTTTTTTATCTACATTTAATACTCTATATATATGTTCAAAGATTTGATGTAATAGAAAGAGAGTGAAAAAACTTACCATCTAAACAAGGCCCTAGAGATCTTGTTTGCTTGCCTGTACGTTGGTATGCTGTTTGTTTGCCTGCCAGTCTAGACAGAGATCTTGTTTATTTGCCTGCGTATTGGTATGCGGTTTGTTTGCCTGCACGTTGGTATGCAGTCACCTTGGAGTGTAACATGGTAGAGTTACCATCCAGTTTTTTCTCTTTTCTTCTTTCACACATTTCTACGAACATATTGGACGCACATGCTCGTTCATGGCTGCAACCATGCTGCTGTCTTCGTCGGCCGCAGGCGGCAGGCGCACAAGCAGGCAACAGGCAGCAGGCGCACTGTCGTCAAAGCTGCTGTAGCGGCGGGGTTGTGCTCGGGATTGTCCATGCCGCCGCACCCGATCTTGGAGAATGACCCCGCCATGGACGCGTGGAGCAGGCCGCAGCCGAGTAGCACGCGCGGCCATCGCTTCCATGGCCGTCTCCTCCTGGGGGCTGCGTCCGGCTCCGGCGTCTTCACCATCCCGGCGGGCTCCCCCACCAAATCGAGCTACCCTCCACCGAATCGAGGTCCTCCACCATCCAAATCGCGGTAGGAGGGGGAGGGGGAGGGGGAGGATGGAGCTCGGTGCGCTGGTGCGAGGCCACGCCGGAGATGGTGTCCTTGGCCGCCGGTGACGGGGTGGGAGACGGAGGGAGAGCGACCGGCGAGAGCAGCGCGGTGACACGAATGACTGCGAGGGCTTGTGTGTCATAAAAAAAAAAAAAGATCGCGATGTCTCGTGAGTCTGAAAGTTTAACGATCTTCAACGCTAGTGCTCTAATTTTTTTTCCTCTACGTCACTGTCGTTAGTCTGGGCTCTAACACCATTAAACCAGGTGTAAAAAGTCAAAAATATCCTTAAGTCTAAATATGTCATTAATTTTTTTGAGTATCTTAATAACTTCAATGAAAAAAAAACTCAAAATTAGAAAGTTGTAGACGAGATCTATAATTTTTATATAAAAATTATCTTTATTTAATTTCGTAAAAAAAGATATGATTTTTCTAAGATATATTAATCATATCAAATCATATTTTTTGTGGAATTAAACGAAGATAATTTTTATATAAAAATTATAGATCTCGACGAGATCTACAACTTTCTAATTTTGAGTTTTTCATTTGAAGTCGTTAAGATGCTAAAAAAAATTAATGACTTATTTAGACTTAAGGGTATTTTCGACTTTTCACACCTGCAGTTTGACGGCGTTAGAGCCCAGACTGATAACAGTGGCATGGAGGGCACAAAAAAAGTTAGAGCAGTAGCGCTGAAGACCACTAACTTTTTCAGAAACTCACAGTACATCACGATCTTTTTCAATGACACAGATAATTCCTCCTTCGTTTTTCTGGGATCACGCCCTCAGCTGCTTTAAGGAACGTGCCGACCAAGCCCAGGAGATGTCCAGGCAAAGGGCTGCAGCTAGCGGGCCTACATCTGGCTCTCGTCTAGCAAACAAACACATCCTTGTATTCTCCCTAGAATATACCCGCCTGCTCCTCCGGAATAACCGCCCGCTCCTCCGAAAGAAGCAGCGTCCACGTCGGCCCGATTTCTCTCTGCCGTCGGATCTACCATCGTAGGGCCACGGTTTCTTCCACCGGATTCCGCGGGCAGCGGCTCCTCAGGTTTCTTTCGGCTCCGCGTGTTCCATTTGGCTTCTTTTTAGGAGCTGCGACAGCAAATATATGGCCGGCTTCCGCTTCTTTCTTTCGGCTTCTTCCCCTTTTCCTCTTCTCCTACCTGCTCCTTCTCGTGAGGAATCACAGCAAACTACTATCGTCACACTGGAGATGGACGCCAACAGGACTGCAACATGTTTCTTGCCTACGGAATCTTAAATGTCTCAACTGGCCAAAGTATGCGGATCCAAGAGCCTGAGCACGACGGGGAGCCCTTTCGACGGCTGCAGAGTCAGGAAGTCGGCCGGCGCGTGCACGTACTCCAGCGCCACCTCGAAGGCGAACCGCCGCAGGATGAGCGCCAGCGTGGCCTTGGCCTCCAGCATCGCGAAGTCCTGCCCGATGCACGACCGCGGGCCCAAGGAGAAGGACAACAGCGCGTTCGGGTGCGCCGCCGCCCTGCCCACGCCGTCCCAGAACCGGAGCGGGTTGAACGCGCCTGCGTCCGCGCCCCACACCTCCTCGTCGCGGTGAAGCATCGCGATCGGGATCAGCAGGAGGGTGCCCTTTGGCACCTTCACGCCGCAGAGGTCCGCGTCCGCTGTCGGCTGTCTCGCGATCATCGGCGCCGCGCCGTATAGCCGGAGAGTCTCGTACAGCACCACGGTCACCTGCGAAACAACATAAGAACATGGCCGTGACGCACGCTCGCCGGCGGTCACCGTGCGGAACGGATATACACCTGCTAGCTAGCTCAATAAGCTTAAGGTGGAGGAGGCTCACGAGCTTGAGCTTGTTGAGGGCGTCGCCACGGAGGGGCACCTCGGCGCCGCCGCACTCCCGGATCACCTCCTCCCTAAGCCGCTGCTGCCACTCGGGGTGCGTGCCGAGGAGGAACATGGCCCAGGTGAGAAGGTGCGAGGTCGTGTCGTGGCCGGCGAAGAAGAAGGTCTTGCACTCGTCGATGATCTCATCCATGCTCATAGCCTGCTGCTGCCCCTTGCCGTCGTCGCCGGCGGCGTTGGCCTCCAACATGAGGCCGAGCAGGTCGCTGCCGTAACCCCTCGCCTCCTTTGCAGCGGCGAGGCGCTCGCCGATGATGGCCATGAGCGTGCCCCGCACCGTGCGCTCGAGCTGCCACCGGCGCACGTTTGCCTTGGTGGGCACGTACTGCATGCCCGGCACGCGCACGTTGTCGATGGACGCGAAGGCGATGAACTGGAGGTCCCGCTGCGCCAGGAACACCTCCTTCCCCTGCCGGTAGCTGCTGCCGAATGCCGTGTGCGAGATCACGTCGGCGGTGAGCTCCGTGAACTGCTGCCTCACCTCCACCGTCACTACCCCGTCCCCGCTCGCCGACGCCGCGGCGCGCGCCTCCCACCCCCGGATCACCTCCGCCGCGCATGCCGCCATCGCCCCCGTCATCGACTTGAGCTTGTCCATGGCGAACGCCGGGTGCACGACGCGGCGGTGGCGCGACCAGTCGTCGCCGTCGGTGAAGACGAGGCCCATGCCCATCAGGGACAGTATGGTGGGGCCCGGGTCCGTCTTGCCGTACAGCCCTGACTTGTCGAAGAGGACCCGCTTCACCATGTCGTAGCTGCCCACGAACAGCGCCGGAGTCGAGCTAGACCACGTCAGGAACACCTTGCCTGGACACACACAGACAACCGTGTGACACGACCACAGCGAAAACTTCTCAGAATTCAGAATTGATCTTGCCCGCTCGCGTACCGTAGAGCGACATCCACGCGCGGGATGTAGTCGTGGGAGGTGAGGTCCAGCGTGTCGCAGCTCGTCGCCGCCCGCATCGCCTGACGGCCTGTTCGGTTGGCTGGTTCGTATCGTTACTGGTTCGTGAAGAAGTATTGCTGGCTGATTTATGTGAGAGAAAAATACTGTTTCGGCTGAAAATTTACGATCGTTTACGACAAGCTATAGCCAAACGAACATGCTTGAATCTCCTTGCTGTTGCCCACGAAGACACGGTACGGCGGCCCGCGGACGCCCTGCCGCGCGAACGCCCTCGCGACGGCGTACGGGCGCCACACCAGGTGGACCAGCACCGTCCACAGCCTCGTGACCACCACCACGGCGAGGGCGGCGGCAACCAGCGCTGCAGCTCCCGTGCCCATGTCGAGCAGCTAACAGGATACGAGAACTCGCGGTGCACCCACCCTGCGAAGCAAACTGCAAACCGCACGGGATAGTACTGCTGTGATGCCGTCGTTGTGTGTGTGTGCGCGCGCCAGTGTCACTGCTGTGTGTATATGTATACTGGTAGAAAGCGCGCGCCCTGCGCGCGTTTGTAAATACAGATAGAGGATATATGTTTTATTTATGGAGTAGAGACCAGTCTAAAGTAATACACAAATATAAAAATGATTACATAGACATATGTTACAGGTAGTGATATATTTTAGAGTTTGATGAATTCATCTTTGATTGTCGCTTGAATAGCCTCTGAGAAGAGCGTGGTCTGGGAACTCTGCGATGACAAGCTTGGTCTAACTGCATGAGTCCAGGGTGTTGTCATCTTCTTCAATAACTGTGAGATTGGGCAGCGATAGTTATTCATCGTAGTTGAGGGGGATTTCATTTCTTCCTGTGAAAAGAGTTGTACTTAGGCCTAGTAAGAACAGGGTATCGAAGTGTATAACAAAGTTTCAAAATCTTAGGGCACAATGAAAATACATGATGAGTAGAGGTAGGCAACAGGCTGAAATCAAAGCAACATGATATCATATATAGGTGTAAGTTAAAGATTTTTTAGGTCGAGTAGAGCAGGTATGCTTTGAGACGGGCCAAAACATACAAATTTTGACTTGAGGCATAGGTGGCAGGAAATGGAGCAAAGGTCTGTACATATAGCACTGAACATATTCATTTTGAATTATTAGCATTGAGGCATAGCAAATAACGAACATGTCGGCAGCATAAATACAAAAAAAGAAAAGCAAAGTACTAGAATTATATCCATAATGGAAAATTAGGCACTCAGCAGGCAATCGCTGACTGAAGAGTTGGCATGATGGAAAAAAAAAACACAACCGCTTTGAACAAATTGCGCCAATATAAATCAGAATCAGAGGGGAGAACAGCAGGACAGCTGACCTGCTGCCATGCAACGCCGCTTGCCTGCTTGCCCATTGGCTGCTGCTGCTTGCCTAAGCGTATTGGTGATGGTCTTGTGTTGTTGTCGTCCTTCAATCAAGCTGAGACACTGTTGCGTACAGGTGATGGTCTTTTGTTGTTGTCACATCTCAATCAAACTACTCAAAGCTGTTGCTGAGACAGTAGAATGGCCTTTTTGTTCCTATCACATCGCACACAAACTACTCAAAGCAAGTTATTTGATGCAGATTATAAAGAAATTAAAACTCAAAACACACACATGCCAGCTCTGAAGTCAATAATCAAAGACAATTTAGCCATGACATTGAGGAAAAGGAGATTCGACGTCATAAAAAAAAATAACCCATCGATCTATACATGGTAAAAGAACTGAGACCATGTGTTCTCAATAATATGGGATACCTAACAAAATAGATGATTACCGAAGCTGGGAGCGTAGCCATGAGCAGATCGGACCAGGGCAGAACCTCTTTTCTGTATTTCTCTGTAAATTTCGAATTGGAGTCATGCTTTTACTGCAGCACTTACTGGGCCCGTTCGGCTGGTAAAAAACCAGCCGGACTTCACTGTTTTCGGATAAAAAATATTGTTTACGCTCTTATAAATTCCTCCAGATTTCTCCAAGCGAATAGGACCACTATGGCTATGAACCACAGTAGCACTGGCCAAGCAAAGGCTGAAAGCACGAAATCAAATCGAAACAAAAACATCTGCAAGAGGGCGGACAACAAATGGCATGAACAGTAGTTTAGTAGCATAGGTAGGAAAAGAATAGCACAATCTATGAAATGGCACAAAACATAATTATAGTAAAATTGAATATAATATGTGGTTTGTGTTATGGTCAAATTTCCTCACAGTTCAGGGTATGTAGGCAAATGAGAGACTGAAATAATATCTTAGGTTCCTCTAGCTACAACAGCGCAACGACGAATTGTGGGTACCACTCTCACAAGCATCCTAGGTTGGCCTGCAGCCTCGCCACCAGCAGCTGTGCGCCTGTGCTGCTGCGCTATCCCCCTTGGAGAAGGGCATGACGGAGCGTGAGAGGGCCAGGATGAGGAGGGGACACGACTGAAGTAGGAACAAGGGGGGATCAGGGGAGGCGATGCTGCAGAAGCACATTCTCAGCCTGTTTGGTTTGATTGGTTCGTATCGTTGCTGGTTCGTGAAGAAGTACTGCTGACTGGTTTGTGTGGGAGAAAAATAATGTTCCGGCTGGAAATTTATGATCGTTTACGACACGCCACACCCAAACAAACAGTCTTTTGTCGATGGCAGTGGCCTCCATCTGGATAAGCATGCAGATAGTGTGGTGGTTCTCAGCTATGTAGATTAATACTAAAATATGGACATTCAAAGTTGTGGGAACAAGCACATAAAAAATGCAGCCGATATTTGGGTTGGCGACTCCGTCTCGTCTAATCACTTGGTCGCGTCCGATACTTGGGTTGGCGACTCCATCTCGCCCGACCCCTCGACTGCGCCCGTCGCTTCAGGTTGGTGACTCCGTCTCGTCCGACCGCTCGGTCGCAAAAGACACTTGGGTTGGCAATTCCGTCTTGCCTGACCCCTCGGCCGCGCCCGACGCTTGGGTCGGCGCCCGACGCTTCGAGTTGGCGCTCCATCTCGCCCGACCCCTCGGCCGCGCCCGACGCCTGGGTTGGCGCTCCGTCTCGCTCGATGGCGACTCACGATCTTATGCCCACCGGGTGCTCTCGTAAAACGAGTATAAACAGCCCCTTCACGACTTCATAGAAGTCCCAAAAGGGCTCGGGGGCTCCTGTCAGGTTCATAAACCCGGGGTCCCCAATGGGCCTGCTTCCCAGCAAAAACTCAGCCCAGCAGACGGCGTAGCGACAACGCGCGCCTCCCGGGCCGGCCCAGTTACCTAACGACCGGCTAGAAGAACGATCCGGTCTCCGACCGGAAGGCCTGGCCAAGAAAAGGGGATAGTCCGACTCCGACCTCCTTTTTCGACCGGGGATACACCGGACCTCCGCTCATGATTTTTCCCCGACCGACACGGTCGGAGCCGACTGGGAACGATCGACCAGGGACGCCCGCTCGGTAAGGACCCAAGGATCAGGCGGAGCAAATAAGGTAAGGCACTCAAGTCAACCGCAATACCGAGAACCGTACCCTGCCATACCCTGCACACCTGCAGGATAGTGCCACCAGGCCATGCCAGATGGGTACTATGCAACGTTCTAGGCGGGTCAGAACCAAAATAGTGTTGTGGGCGCCGACATTTACCATACCAGGTGAACACGGTAAAGCCTGCCATATGCGTCTGACATGAACAGTATTGTGGACGCCGACGACCGTCTCGTACCCGACAACATGGGCAACAAGACTATATAGCACACGTATCCATTCTCTCTTTCTCTGACTTCTAAGGCCATCCCCTTCAACTATAAAAGGGGATGCGCTCTCTCAACGAGAGGGACGGACTCTCTCTCTCTCTAGCTAGCTCTAGACAATCTAAGCATTCGAACAACTCCACAGCTCTAGAACTCTAAAGCTACACAGAGTACATGCTCCAATACTTAGCGCGCATTAGAGCTCCCGTCACTCTCGACCCTTCAGTTTAGAGTCCGACCGGGCCTTTAACACCCCCTTCTCATTCCTACTCGTTTGTAACCCCACAGCAAACTTTGAGCACCTGGGCCTAGGAATAAAGTCACCGACCGATCGAAACTAGACGTAGGGCACGTTGCCTGAATCAGTATAAATCCTATGCCATTGAGTGCTAGTCCACATCCGATCACAACGCGCGACAAAAGTACAAATATTTACTTGTTGGACACTTTTCGCACCGATAGTCCCTACGTCCAGTTTGATGTTGCTTGTGTTACCGTCACTTGGTTTTTAGTAGGGGTTACAAACGGGCGAGAGAGGGAAAGGATCCCAAGTCTTTGGTGGAAGCGGTGAACAGGTGCTGAGAGCTCGATTGCTGCTCAGCCGTGTGCTCGTGTCGTGCTCTTGTGTGTTTATCTCGTGTTCCGATCTCGTGCGAATCTAGATCCCCCTGATGGGGCGTCCTGCTTTCCCTTTTATAGGGTAAGGGAAAGCGTGGCTTACAGCGGAGGAAAAGTAGAAGAACGAGAGAGAGAAGAAGGCTGCCAGGATCATTGGGTTCTTCTTCTCCTTTATGCGGGTCCCGCCGACCCTGTAGACGTCAATAGGGACGGCTCCACGTCGCGGCCCTATTCGTCACTGACGCCACGTTGACAGGCGTCGTCTACCAGTCATGGCGTCCTATTTTGTCCTGACGGGCATCATGGTGAACTGACATGCCTGTCAGCGTTCGTACGAGGGTTAGACAAAACAGCACCAGCACGCTCGACGCTGTTCTTGATATGAATCCTCAGGTATGGCCCATCATGGCCATGGGTTACATCGGGGCATGTCGGTCTCTTCCTTGGTGTCAGAGTTTTGACCCAGACCCATACGCTTGGACCTAGAGTGGTTGGCAACGGTATGGGTCCCCGTTAGGAGCCACGCCTGAGGGGTCGGGCGAGACGGAGCCCCCGACCTAGAGGTCGGGCGAGGCGGGGCCCGCCCCCAGAGGTTGGGCGAGGCAGAGCCCCCGACCCAGAGGTCGGGCGAGGTGCCCCCCTAGAGGTTGGGCGAGGCGGAACCTACGCACCTGGGGGTCGGTTGGAGCTGTAGTTGCGCTCTTGACTGCTCGGATGAATCAATGTTGATGACCATTAGCTCCTCCTTTTCGGGTACCCTAGTATTGGTCCCCGATAGTAGCCTCCGAGCCTATGGAGGAGTAGAATACTCCTTCGAAGGCTTTTCTGAATGGGAGGACTCTGAGGGCCTTAGCCTTCTTTTATCGTCCACAGCGTGTCCTAGGGACGACGATTCCCTTTCGTCGCGATCGGACCCCTCGGGGGTATAGCCGTGAGATTTGGTGTGTCGGAAAAGGTCTTTCCTGATTCCGACCCCTATGGGAGTCTGTCATTCTGCGACCGCATGTTCGGTCTCCTTG